ATCTCTGTTATTGCGTCCACTGGAACCTCTGTCATCAGTCGTGTTTGCAACCCTCCTGAGCCTGAAATAAACATGAACATTGTAAATCCCTGTGTGGACATGGCTCTACCCAAACCGACCTATAGGCCCAGCAAAGACGATACTGGATCATACCATGGGCAGTCTGTTGGTGATGAGGGGGGCAGCGCTGCCCGCTTCATTGTTGAGAGCCCCACTCTTGGTACAGGATCTTGTCCAGGTCTCAGAGTAAACACATCTGAAGGAGTGGTAGTATTGAGCCACTCAGGCCAGAAAACAGAGGGACCACAGAGGATCAGTGCAAAAATAAGTCAGATCCCACAAGCAACTGCAGGTGACATGGAATCTCAGCAGTTGGTATCCATGCCCCAGATAAAACCGGATATGTATGGTCATTCTCATTCAGGACTTCAAAAGGGGCCTTCATCGCAGACAGATCATGGGCATCCTGGTAAGATGCAGTCGGCTGCATCCATTAAACAGGAAAGCACTGTTTTGGAAAAGATGGAATCTGCTTACCAATCTGGACCTCAAGGAGTAGTGAAGCGTCTCACACAGGGTAACCAGCAGGTAATGAGTTACCATCAAGAGTACATGCCAATAAAACATCAAAAGAAAATTGACAGTGCTGATCCTCACAGTACAGATGGCACTAAACCACCTTGGACCTCTGCTATAAGTCCTGCAATAAGTCCCCATTTGCCCTCCCCACCTGGCAACCATGTAGGTTTTGTAACAGCAGCTGGTGACCGAGCTCCCTCACATATCAGTGTCAAACAGGAACCACGTTCCCCTCGCAAGTCAGGTCACCCACATTCTCCGTTTACTAAAGTTTCCTCACCCATAGGCTCCTCATCACCCAAAGGCATACCTGTGATGTTACCCACTGGCCTTCCTGCCATGCAACAGTTTATTACTGGTGTTCATCACCCAGAACAGTCAGTTATTATGCCACCTCATAGTGTGCCTGGAGGCTTGGGACGGATGTCTCCTCACCGTGTTACCCAATCAATTCCAGTGGGGCATCTTGTCCAAGGAGATGTACGAGTCAATACTCCACCTCTGTCTGTGATGAGCTATGGGATGCATAGTGAGCCTCTGGCCTCTCCCTGGTCTGGTCCCATGCAGCCACGACCCACCTCACCCCAGGCTGTTGGCCGGGAGAAGGTTCTCAAGGTAAACCCTGGTTCTTTGAGGGGTCATGAAGGGGAGCAGGAAGAAACCAGACGCTTCCACCAGATGCCAGGACGACAGTCTGCCGCACCTTTGAAACCAGAGTCTATGCAGTCAGATCCTTGCGGGCCTTTGCGGGGTAACGCTCAGTTAGGAACATACATGAAACAGAGAGATATGCTTGTGCTCTTGCAGCAACAGGGAGAGCGTTTGGCCACAGATCCTCATTCTGGACACATTCAGGAGACTCTTCCCACCTCTTCAGCGCCTTCCAACCTCCCCCTGTCTTTGTCTCCAAGAGCACATGTTTTGCCTAAAGGTGTGTCTGAGAAAGATATAACAAAGCCATTGGAGGCAAAGAGGCCACACTCTCCTCTTTCTAAAGATGGAATGATGGGGATCCGACAATCTGGGCAAGCAATGGCTTCTCCCCAGAGAGTTCAGCTAATAACACCAGGACCTAGTGGCTCATTCCCAGAGTACTCGGGGATGTACTCAAACCCAAGGGGCGTCCATCCTCAAATACCAGAGACGTCTCCTGTTGGACTTAACCAGCCACCACTGAGCGTAACACCAACCATGGTGGGTTCACTGCACTTAACACTCCAGTTTATTAGGTACACCTAGCTAACAATAATGTAGTCTAATGCAACAGTCCTGCAATAAATCCTACATTCATGAAAGTCTTGTTTTTGTTAAGCTGAGAGGGGTCTATTGTTTGTGGTGCTCTTTAATTGTTTGACATTATACTGGGAGGTATTTCTGATGTTTAATCAAATCCTAACCGTCCTTTAATATAAATGGGGGACAATAATAACCTGGAAACTGAGTGTACATACAAATGTGGGTCGATAGCTTCATATTACAGAAGCTGTTCATGACACACTATTTTCTCGAATCCTTAGGGTGCAGACCTCCAGACCAAACCAGATGGCAAGATGACGCAGCCAGTTAATATGGTGCAGTTGCTCACAGTAAGACTCTAACTCATCACAACAGTTAAATTGTGTTCAAGGTTGTTGGCCTAAACAAGAACTTGCTTTGTCTGACGAACTTGTCTTTGTTTTGTCTCATATTTAAACAGAAATACCCTATTGTGTGGCAAGGCCTTCTGGCACTGAAGAATGACACAGCTGCAGTCCAGTTGCATTTTGTCTGTGGCAACAAAGCTTTGGCTCATCGATCACTGCCCCTACAAGAAGGAGGGGCATTGCTTAGGATTGTCCAGAGAATGAGACTCGAGGCTTCGCAGCTGGACAGTGTAGCCCGAAGAATGACCGTATGTGTCTTTTTGTTTTTACCAACATAGAGTGATTGTTTAACTAAATGCAGTCTGCTGATACACATTTACCTTTCTTCCCTCTACAGGGGGACAGTGACTTCTGTCTTCTGCTTGCTCTGCCATGTGGACGAGATCAAGACGATGTTTTAAACCAAACTCAAGCTCTTAAGGCCGCTTTCATCAATTACTTGCAGACAAAGTTGGCTGCTGGTATCATCAATATCCCCAACCCAGGTTCCAATCAGGTGAGACATGATTGTTAATGTGTGAAGATTTTTCTTTGTGATTTTTTTTTTAAAATTTTTTTTTAAGTTTGATCATATGATTTGATGAAAAGAGGTGCTTTAAACTAATATAACTTTACATGTATCATTCACCTTTAAAACAGTCTCCTTATAAAACTATTATCTTGCTGTGTCATTGCACAAACAATGCACATGACCAGACGGGAGGGACTAGAGGCTCTTTCAAAAGCCAACTCAGAGCTCATGTGAAGTCTGGTTTATGTCATGAGTTTGCAACACAGACTTGAGTCATCAGGCAGCTGATTGAGTGAATAAAACACATGAATATAAAACTGCAATGTTCACAGCCACAGAGTAGCACATAGCAAAATAAGTCAGATTTTATTCATATAGTCCAAAATCATAAATCACAATTTGCCTCAGGATGCTTTACAATCTGTACAGTGTAACAACCTCTGTCCTTAGACCCTCGAGTTCGGTACCTGCTATTATAGAGGTTTTGTTATCGGTGGTGAAAAGTCTAAACTGGTAGACTAGGCCCTAACACAGGATCGGTTTAAAATAAACGTATCAAATCTTAATTGAGACATACCAGTTTAAAATGTGAGCTGGTAAAGTACCAGTAGAACCGTAAAGGATGAAAAAAAATCAATAAATTAACAGATTAAAACAGATCAATGAGGAAGGAGACAGTTAACAGATCTCATGGAAATCCTGGTGGGAGTAACAGAGCGTAATATGAAGAGTAATGATGTGTTAGTCAGACTGTGCTACTGTGGTAACATAAAATGTGGTAATTCTGCTTAGATAACTTCAGATCTGCTCTTGTTTTTTTCCTAATAAAAAAATGTTTCTCACTATGAGGCTACAGCCACGGGTCAGTTTTATATTAGCTGTATTTTAATTTCAGTGCATTTGAAATCACACATTTGATTTAAATACTGTGCAGATACTTAAGACTGAAAACTATTTGACCTCACTCATTGTTATGGTGTAGTGATAAAGGGGAACACAGGCAGGAACATTGGTTAAACCTGACCAGAGCCAGACAATAAGTTTCCATATTACAATATCTGCCAGACTTACTGAAATAACCTGCTTTAACTGGTAATCTTGAGTTATGAAACACCCCTCTGGTATCTGTTGGTTCTCTGTAACTTCAAATGTGTGATCTTACATTTTCTCTGTTTTTCCAGCCTGCCTATGTGCTACAGATTTTCCCACCGTGCGAATTTTCCGAGAGCCACTTATCCCAGCTCGCCCCTGACCTTCTCAACAGGATCTCCAGCATCTCACCACACCTCATGATTGTCATCACCTCTGTGTAACCTTCACTGCTGGGAACTGTCCCATCGATGGATGTTCTTACTGATGAGCCTCAGGAAACCAGAGGAATGAGATTTTTCCTGGACACAATGGGAATGTGTAGGATGAACCCTATCGCCTTTTTGCTTCTTTCTTTTTTTTTTGTCACTCTGGTATTTTTGTCCTTCTCAAAAGAACTCAGGGATGGACCAAACCAGAATCAGTCTTATTTGACCATTTCTCTGCTGTATTTCTATTTATTGGAGTTTTTATTTTAATGTTTGGAGATGCTCTGAAGAAAAAATCAGGATGTTTGATGAACAAGAATGACTATGTGGGTGGCCTTTTTTCTTTCATCTGTCTTTTATTGATTGTCATATTCATTTCTTCATGAGAGAGGATCATAGAAGCTGTTGCACCACAATGGCTTGAAAGACATTTCAACATATAATTTTAAATGATTATGTACAGACTTCCTCACCCAGGCTTTCTTTAGAGGAGGAAGAATTAACTTGTAAAACTATGGAGACCCTCTAGAGGACCACGTTCGTTTAACAGTTCCTTTAATTCCACCAGCTCTGCTCATTTTCTCACACTACTGAAGCAGTTACACCTCTGGCACCTGCCTTTGCATTGGACAAGCTACAGTATGATTTGGGAGTTTTTTTGAATACAGGACATTGTAAATATTTTAAATACTGTATTTAAACTTTGACAATGGAACTTGGAAAACTTGACAGAGACTTGAACTCTGGGACATACCAGAACGCAGGGTGTGGAAATTTAGATGGATATCCTTGATTTTTGGGTGTAAATACTTGTAACACAAGAAGGTTGTCAAACTCTCCTGTGGAGTCTGCTGATGGCACTTCATATTTTGTAACTCAAATAAAAACAAACTCCAGAAAATTTGAATATTTAAGATATAATTCTTTATTTTTTTGTTGTGTGCGTTTGGCAAGAATGTTGATGTGTTATTTCACTCACTTTAATAATCAGTCACTTACATTTCATACTTTACAACAGAGGTTTAAGTAAACAAGGGGTTGTTAATAGTTTGAGTGCAAATACAAATCATTTTGTATTATTAGGTCATTGACCAGCCAACTAACATGAATTATTTATATAATAAATGCTCTTTTAAAATGTAATGATAGTGATAGATTAGATAAACATTCATTTAGACTTGAGATAATAAGAAAAGCACAGGTATTACTAATAACTTTAACCATGGCCCCAGTAAGCCATGTCACACCTACAGTTTATAGAAAAGGAACAACACATTAAATTATAAATCAGGAACTGTATAAAAGAAGCCTGTGAAAAGCTTTATAGACTTATATTCAGCTAACGTGAAGGTACAGTATGATGAGTTGTGCATCCACTGCACAGTCAGCTCTGGACTGTCGGCTCACCTGCTGTAAACGGACCTTGTATCAGTGAGGTATATTCAAGCACAAACCTTACTAACTAACTTATCTTAATTGTTTTCTATTCACAACCTAAACATCTGAAACTTGTTGCAGAGCTGTAAAAGGAATATAAAACAGAGAAAGGCTGTATGTTACATTCACTTCAAAGGGGGGAGATAATCATGTGTTACATGCATTGTCACTATATTTGACTTAAATGCTACACTATTTTAAAAATTACATGTCCTAGTGTTTTAAATCTACACTGGAGCCAAACAATGCCACCAGCTGGTCTTCATACTGGGAAATGTTCCTCTTCATGATGTCCATACAGGGTCCCAGCAGACGCTCAAAGGCCTGGATGTCAATTACTAAAAGAAATAGAAGGTAAATTAAGATTATTTGATCTTATAGTGGGCTTTTTTTATAGTATTAAAAAAGGATAAAGGTAAAGAATTGGTGCACAAATCATTTTTCACTGAGAGAAATTTTTACTCATGTAACTGGCAGCCTGGATTTTAAAGGAATTGCTTTTTTTGTCATTAGGGTCCACTACAAACTCTCAAAGCAGAGAGGGTGTGTTTCAATATATAAACCTTTGTTTTAGAGGTTGTGATGTTAAACATGACATTTAAAGCAAAAGTAGTCAAAACTTCCCTCTTCAATTGCATTTTTATGTCTTTCTAATACTGGGTAGGACCTCTTCTTGAATGTGTGGAAACATTTAGGAATTTTGGTCTTTTCCCTCAATTTGGAGACACACACTCCAACATTAATCACAGTGTTGCGTGATAGACAGTCAGCTATTTCATAAAGTCAAAGAGAAGGAGCTAATATTCTAGTTCAGCCAGCGTGAGACTGTCTAAAAGTGGATGTTTTGGTCTTTTGACCTCGTGTGAAACACCCACAGGATGAGCTGGCTGTAGGAGCATCTGATAAAACAGTAACTGTCTGTGTACATTATGAGTTACTGTGTCTGCTCTGTTGGTCTAATCCCCTCCTACACTCCACCAGCCAGTGTCTTTCACTGAAAACGAGGTGCAGAAATCTAAAATAACTTTGCCCTTACTCCACTAGTGTCTTTAACTTACCTAAACATTTGGTTTCTCCCACAGCATAAACTGAGGCAGCGCGTGGTTTGTTGGTGACCAGTGCCAGCTCTCCAAAGTACTGCCCTCTAGAGCAACGAGCCACCTCAACCTCTGTGTTATCCTGCTGCCCCGCCTTCGTCTGTAACGGACACAAAGAACCTTTTTAGTACATTAAGATTACACATTACCAGACTGGAATATTATATCTACCTATTGGGGAAAAACTAGCTATCAGCTTTAGTTATAACATTGGACTCTGGACTTACTTTGCTTTTTATCATTATCTTCACCTCTCCTGATTCCACAATGTAGAAACAATCAGCCTCCTCCCCCTGAAAGCACAAAACACTGCATTTAATAAGTCTAACCTGAGTCATACAAAGGCAGCAAAATGTCCACAACACTGTACCTGCGTTATTAAGCGCTCTCCATCTTTGAACACTCGGGCCCCCAAAACATCTACAATCTTCATTCTCTCAGAGGGCTTGTGAAAAGAAATGAAGCACGGTGACACAACAAATACGGCGACTAAACATCCACCTATTCTTTGATTATTTTGTGTTTCTAATACAAACCTCCAGAGACTTCAGGAGAGGAACACACTCAATGAAGGCCTCGTACATTCTCCTCTTCTTCGCATTATTTCTAACAATCAGTCTGTGAAATGTGGCTCGATCCTGAAACGAAAACGACATAGTTTATGTGTTTCAATTCTACTTTTACTTTTAGTTCAGCTGTCAGGATGGACTCACCAGGCCCCACAGGGCGCCTTCCTGTGTGGCAACGATTGTGGCAGCTCGCGGCGTGTTGTACATGAGAGCCAGCTCACCAAAACTACCCTTGTTGTCATACTTTCCCACACACACACTCACTCCGTCCTTCTCCACAAAAATATCATACACGCCCCTGGAAATGATAAGAGTAGAATTCATTATATGACTGACACGCTGTCGTCGAGTTCAAACAAAACAATGTGTCATCTGTCGCTCACTTCTCTATGACGTAGAAGTTGTCTCCATCGTCTCCTTGGTCTATGATGTGTTCCTGAGTTTTGACCAACACCTCGAACATGCCGTCCAAGACCTCGGAAAACTGCTCCTGGAGGACAAAGTAAGTTTATTTGTAACAAAGTGCTTTACATAAAACAGAAAAAGGCTTTAAGACGAGATATAATGGAAACACAAGGCCATATAAAAATACACATCACAAGGTTTTAATAGAGAGTTCAGTAAAATAGAAGACAAAAATAAGTGGAATAAAAACAGAATAAACAGGATAATAAATGTTATGGCGCAGCTACAGTGACATGTAACATATTTAATTTAATAAAAGTGCAAACAGAAAAGTCTTCAGCCTCCATTTAAAACAACTGACAGCTGGAGTGGACCTCGAGTTTCCAAGAGCTCTCTATGTTTAAGTGTGAGAAAAACAGTATTTTAAAGTCTTTTTGACACATCCACTGTAAAGATATCTGAGAACTGTAGTGATGAGTTCCAGCTGTCTGATTTTATTAATACTTTTATACATTAGGTGTCTGTGTGTGTGTGTGTCTAAAAGCTAATGTTCATATTCAAAAGAACAGCCACTTCTTTCCCTCCTGTAGAAGCTGATTGGTGCAGCTGTACCTGCTCCAGTGTTTTAAACAGTAAAATGTGTCTGCAGGCGTCCTGAAGTCTGCGACGCTGCTCGTCTGTTTTGGGGTAAACGACCCGAGGCTCTGCGTCGTCGTCCTCGTCATCATCGGGGTTGTACGCCTCTGCACAAACTGCAGCAACACATTTTAAAATACCGGGCTGTGGTCAACATGTATTAATATTCATTACACATATTGTTCCAGTTACTGACCTGAAACCCTGCGGTTGTATTTACTGGTGGTGGACTCTGCAGAGAGAGAAGTGAATGTGTTAGAATAGATTTCACAAGTCTATTAAAGCAAAAGGAAGTCACGTATGTGTGTGTGTGTGTGTGATGTTTCTTCTAATCGCTACAATTTTCTCTCTTGAATTTTTATACACACGGTGAATGTTTGTGTTAATGAGTGTTATTTTGTATCATGTGATGAGTTACAGGTGGAACTGTTTGTCTCAGACCAGCACACAGTCTGTTCTTGCTCACATGGTCTTGTAGGTCAAAACTTTGCATCCATAAAACATTTTTTGGGAGTTTGTAAATTTCATTCTGTGGACAATTTCTCAGTTTCCTTTGAGTGATGTTGACACTGAAGCTTTGGGGTTTGAAACATTTACAAAATGGCACAGCTTTCATAACAAAATAAGGTAATAACACTCACTGACAGTGTCTTCCTCCTCCTCCTCCTCTTCCTCTTCTTCTTCTTCTTCTTCTTCTTCTTCGTCCTTGTTAGGTTTATCTGACTTTGTTTCAAAGGTCACTCCTTTCCGTGCAGGTTTGGCACTGCGTTTCTTGGCTTTCGGATCATTTCTGTGGCCCTCCAGAATTCGTGTAAAATGCTGCACGGCAAACTCGACCAAGTCTGGCGGCCTGCGGCGAAGCACCTCCACTGTGTATCCCTGCAGCAGCTCTTTCAAACCAGCCGGTATCTCAACAGCAGTCATCATAGGAGTTCAGAGGTCACAGGGCTGGAGCTTGAGAGTTCACAAGTAAACCACAAAACCAAATCTAAATGTCAAATAGTTTCAGATTTGAAATATGAAATCTCAGCATCAGCTTGTTCCACAGATTTAATAATCAAAGTTCTGCCCAGACCGTCATCACAGGAGCGACCTGACTCCTCCTCCTCTCGTCCCACTGCCTCCAACATCCAGCAGCTCATTGATTTCTTTATTTGGCACAGCCTGTCGGAAAGTATTGACCAGGACTTTTCACAGCAGATGTAATTAAAGGCTGTCCGATGGATTACGCCTCAGAACTTGATGATTTGGCAAAGCAGCAACAACACAGAGACAGAGCAGTGGACAGTGGCTGGTGTTAGACAGCTGCAGAAACAGACACCATGAGACAGACTGAACTGTATCTAACACACAGAAAGTAACTGAGTAAAGTTAAGTAAGTGAAATGGTACAGCTGTAAGCCGATAGGAAGCATTTATGTGATGGAAAACATGAAGCTGAGCATGAAATTCAACCTTATGGGAGAGATGTTGTTGGAAAAATGTCAACATGCCCCGTTCACAAGACTCATTACAGGAAATCCTGCAGCTGCTGGAGACAATGAGGCAAATCAACATCATACATTTAGTCTTTCCTACTATGAAGTCCTCTCTGGAGGTCTCAGGTTTTTTTAGTAAAAGTATTCTGGTAACAAATCCCATATACATTTCTATATGACGCTCTAAAATGTTATATTTTTATTATTACTAAGACATTACATTTCTTTAAGCTCTTAAACTTGTATTTTTATTTTAGTATTTATTTTCTTTTACTTATTTGCTTTTATATAAATTCTAATTACTCCGTTTATTCTTATTATCCTTTGTTGCAGTTATTAAATAATGGACAGTCAAGGTTTCTATGTTTTATGACAGGATTGCATTTCACTGTGATTGTACCTTATATGATCACGTGACAAATTGATTGATTGATATTTGTATATTGTAAAATACTCCACAAATAAAAAGAGAATTCAGAAAAGACTAGACTAATATGTAAATATGGAATCTGTTTTTATTTTATTTCTATGTTGACATTCACATACTGTTCAATCAATCTCATTATGACTACCTTCATCATTTCACATTTAAACAAACAGAAAAGTGTAGTTAGTATCGGTGACCACACAGGAAGCAGCAGACAGTTTGAAAGGTGTGTATTGCTGAGAGACTGAACACACACAGTACAACAAAATGCACCTTTTCCCTGATATGTACACCTGCTCGCAGATAACAAAAGGTAAGGCACGACATGTTCAGTTCACTCCTCGTCTTCTATAAAAAATAACAGAAACAGAAAAACAAGTAAAACAAAAAGGAGTGAGAACATTCGACTGTCTGTGTGTGTGTATACTGGCACAAGTGCAGAGTCATCACAATGTCTCAGCTCTGATCCCTCAGCAGGTCTGAATGATCCACGTGCTCTACAGTACCACAGGGTTTTAAACAGTATCAAGTACATTATTGGAAAATTGCTAAAAGTAAAATCTCTTGGTATTGTTTGATTCACTGTGTGTGTTCGTACTGCTAATAACTCAGTTGGGTTCAAGAGTTCTGTTCCTGGGATTCACATTGGAGGCGACGCTCAGCCTTCATCACAGGTCTGGTGCTAACCAGTTCAGGAACTTCATTGCACACTCAAATCCTAAGAAGCAGGCCTGAAAAAAAAAAAAAAGAGACGCAAAGACACAATGGTTCAGTTTGTGTGTAACAGTGATGGAGTTAGTACAATCTTTACAACACACCACAGCATAGATAAATAAAGAATTACTGTGCTCATATTTTGTGCTTACGTCTTGTTATTGTACAAAGTATTTTTAATGAACCCATATTATGAATTAGCTTTGGGTTCTCTCTCTCTCTCTGATTAATTTACTTTGGTCAATTAAATGTAAGATAGCAGTAAAAATGTAAGATAGCAGTAAAAATGTCTTCCATTAGTTTGTTTTGTTTGAACAGTCCAAAACCCAAAGATATTCACCTTACTATCACATGTGACAAAACAATGAGTTTTCGCTTAAAAACTGACCTGTACGATTAATTTTCTGTCATTGGACTAATTTATTGATCAATTTATTATTTTAGCTGTACTATCCACAACCAAATATACGGGGAAAAATGCACCAGTAATACTTGGTATCATCCTATCAGCTGATATTGTTGATTACAGTTGGCTGAATGTACGATACAAAATCATCTAACAAGCACTTCATTGTAATAAGATTTTGATTTCTTTAGAATCACCACGTATGAGTGCAAAAATACAGATACTGTACAGCAGCTGTAACACACTGACTTACACGTTCACTGGATTGGAAGCTGAAAACTTACTTTAATTTTAATAAAAAGGAGAAACAGATTTTGGTGTTTTAAAGGTTTTAAAATCAGAGCTCAAAATCTACTTTTTCCTTCAGTGTCCCAAAACTGTCCCAAATTCTACATTTAACTGTCCCAAAGTTAACAACAATCGTCCCATTCTACATAATGAATATAGCTGAATAACTTTGTTTCAGTAACTCGCATCACTTCACTGCCTCACTCTGGTCCGTCGAGGAAGTTCTACCAGGTTATGTTTGACGTAAAGTTTAAATCTACAAAGAGAGGGAGAAGCTCAAACAAACTATTTACATATTTACACAGATGACAACACACTAATCCAGAGATCCGGAGAGAAAGAGTGAGAGATCAAACGAGCTCCACAGGCCACATCTACTGACTCTGAGCAATTATTATATATTACAATACAGAATTACAATATATCTGAACGTATCGCTCTCCTTTACCCTAATGGTCTGAATAAGTTGCTAAATTTGTCGTCAGTCTGATTAGTTGTCAGTGCCTTGTTAGAAATAAAGTTGCTATGAGGCTCTCCTGTGATTTAAGTGTGCGTGACGTAGCGCCGCACTCATGCAGGTGCCACCTAACAATTAAAATAATATCTATATAATAATATATATTGCATGACATGTAAACATGGTCATTTCATTTTACATTAACAGAAACTCTGTCTTTGTGTCCCAGGTGGTATTTTTATTGTCCCCGGGACAACAGGACAAATCAAAGTGCTGTATACGGTGTGTTAGTGAATCAATTTATAAGTTGGTTTTGTTTTTGGTCTTAATCCTTAACATGTAAATCTTACATTAAAACACTCATTACACTCACTACAGGTCGGTGTAATGATTGGACTACATCTGATCTGTAGCTAGGTGACACTGATGTCATTCTTCCAGTCACTACCATATACAGCTGCTACTAATGACAAAACTAAGTGTTACTGAACTGAAGAATACGTGAAGTGCACTTACTGCGTTTGCAGGGAAAGCTCTCAGCATGACAGCATTGAAGCCCTTGTACAGCGAGCCCATGCCCTCCTCCCTGACCAGCTCCCGCAGAACGTCCCGGAAACCATTGGGATACTTTCCTTCAGGAGCTGAGAGAGAGAGACACATTTTTAAATAACAACCTGCTTGTAAAAGAAAATGTAAACAGAAGACATTTTATAGAAGTAGTCAAGTAGTCTTAGAGGTGTTTCGAAGCTCATATAAGAGGCTTCGTTAGTTCTCCTAACTGGGGCGGACACCATTTAACCATTAACTCCAGCTTCCACTAACCAGTACTTTGAGATATCACACTACCTCTTCATAGACTGAACACTGAACTTTACTGGCTCTTTCAGCATCCTAACACCTCTTTATTTACACATAGAAAAAACCAACATACAGAAACATTAAGTAACAGAATTAGGAAAAGGTCTCTGTCCAACAAGTAATGCAGACTGAACCACTACCTGTAACGGTGGACGTGCAACAAGCAACAAGCCGTGGAAAAAAAGACCTCTCTGAACTGGGTGCAAGACTTGATAAGACCCTCATACTCAAACAGCAACTAGTGGAACCTAAAACCAAACCTGTTTGGAAACGAGACTTGAGCACGTCGGCTGGAATCGCAACAGCCCAGTTAAAGATCCCCGCCATCCCCCCGGCAAACAGCACGCTGGGAACGCTGAGCTCATTATGGCTGCAGGGAAAAGACAACAGGTTCACCTGCTCAGAGGCTGTTTGTTTTTTAACAATATGACAGTAGATACTGTAAAGAAAGAGGAGATATTCACCTTTTTCCTGCTGGTGTCAGGACGTTCTTCAACCACTCGTAGGACGTGAAGTACATCCCACTGGCTGGAACATCTGAGTTACAAAACATGAAATACAGTTACTTGTAAATGATCGATAAATAAACGGATACATGTGAAAGAAGAGATGCAACAAAGGCACTGATTTTAAATATATATATGCAGGATGTAAATGTTTTATAGAGGCAGGAAGGGCATTCCAAGTGTTCGTTAGATCTCAGGAATACACACAATGTGCTTCAGTGAATGTAATCAGGGCATGTTTAAGAGATTAAGTCTTTTTCCATAAACTGTTCTCATTATTTCGTCTACTCGTTGTTAAAGTTGTGCCTCCTGCTCGAGGTTTTAGGTCCTATCGGAGTAAAGAAAGCACCTCTCATGAGAGTCAGAGCGGTGCCTTTGTAGATTCCTCTGATCCCCGACTGTCTGTACAGCTGCTTGACACAGTCCATGGGTCCCGCATACTTCACCTCTCCTGACGATGCCTGGATCTGCACACACACACACACATTATTTCAGATAACTCCAGAATCTGAAGCAATAAAAGATCAGTGACAGGAGGCAGTCTGATAGAACTACAATAAACCTCCTGTATATCTGTACAAAGACATGACCTCTGACCTGTAGGAGGCATTTGATGCGCTCTCCAGGAGCCATGATGGCCGTCGTGAACACACCAGACAACATCCCAGCGGCGAACAGCTGTGGATACCTGCAGGAGACCACAAGACGCACTTACATGTTATTCCCCACAGTGGAAGCGAAGAGCGCCACCTACAGAGCAGTCACCTACGTGAGGATATCATCAGGGGTCTTCTGCTGCAGCTTCTTGCCCAGTCCGAATCCAAAGAAACAGACGGCAAACATGGGCGTGACTCCAATGATGGGTGCCGCCATGCCTCTGTAGAGTCCTTTCACACCCTGTGAGGGAGGAAGAGGACACATTTTAGGTATTATAATAATTTATAATTCTTACATTCTAATATATCCCAGAGATTGCGTCAGCGTGCATCCTCACCTCTTTGGCTAAGGTCTTTTTGAAGCAGTCGATGGTTCCAGCGTACAGGAGGCGCTCTCCGGGTTTGGGTTTGGGCTGAGTCTGTAAACGCACCTGAGAAGAAGAAGAGGAGTCAAACACCACAGTGGCGACAGTTTGCATCATAAAGAAAAGGCTTTCAGAGTTTGATGTGGAGGAACTTGAAGCGGGCTGCACAGAGACCTGACCTCTGACCTCTGACCTCTGACTACAAGACAGTGAATAAGTCAAATATTCAGAGTCAGTATTGGAAACACGACTCCAGACGCTCCGTGTGCACAGGAAACGACTTTATATAGTGATAATAAAGGTTTAAATAACTGCATGAACATATTTATAACTACCTCAAACACATATCTGGCCTCTCTGAAGTGGAATTATTGTTATTGATTAGCTGCCGTCTACACAAACACCCACACATCTGCACTAAGAGAACACTGGGCCATCGATTGATCCGTCTTGCTCTATTCAAACGTATTGAACTAACAGGAGGTGCGTTCAGGTGAGCTCTGCAGGAGGCCCTAACACCAGCAGGGAGCTGAGACATAGGACACACTGAATGTGGGTCAAAGGTAAGCAGCAGCCTGATTCTCATGAGGAACAAATATCTGCCATATGTTTGTCTCTCTGCAGGGTTACACTCCTGTTTCCGACCGGAGTGCAGCGACAGACACACAGACAGAGGACTCATTACTTTAATGGTGTCGAGTGGATGTCCGGCGAAGACGAGGCAGACTCCTCCAAAACCTCCGGCGAAGAAGTTCTTCATCGGACTGATCGGCTGCTGTTTAGACATTTTCGCTTTCCGCTCTGCTGGAAGAAAACACAAACAAACGTGCAAATAAACAAATAAACAAACAAACAAACCGAGTCCTGAGCACAGACGCAGCAGTGATGTTGTACCTGGTGTCCGGTGGCTCTGCAGAAGGTGTTTGTGTGTTTGTGTGCTGCTGTCACTGCTGGACCTTTCACCCACTTTCTACCCGGACCGCTATCACTGCCGCACAGCGAAACTCCGGTGGGTCTCTGTTTGTTGTCCGGGTGGAAACGTTCAACTTCAGCTTGGAACTCGAATAAATGAAGTTTAATGAGACAAAAATAAATGCAAACAATCCATAAACGCTCAAGCCTTTTATTGTTGTTATATTGTGTATTTAATGATGTGCTAATGTGATATTTAAATTAAAATGTATTCATGTTTATTCCCAAGAAAAAGGGGAATTCTCTATGTAAAAAATAAATTCCATATATATATATATCTTTTTATTTGTAACCATTGTACATCAATTGGTGTATATTTAGATTGAGAAGAAGCACGCTTGTAACACTGTTATATAATTTAAATGAACATTACAGTCAATAATCTATTACATACAGATAAAATAAAGATACTAAAGACACTACATATACACATACTATATCTATGGCACTATACTGTATAGTTAAACAGGAAATCATAATATCTGGTCTTTATCAAGCTTGTGCAGGTTGTGTCTGTAAATCTCACCTGCATGCTACTATCAGTCAGTGCCAGTGTTGGGCTGGTTACTCATAAAATGTAATATATTACTCGTTACTCTTTTAAAAAGTAAGTGTATTACTTTACTTATTACTCCATCCTAACAGTAATTAGTTACACTAATAGTTTTATTACTTTTCTTCTACTCCCCGCAAAACTGGTATTATAGATTGGTAATTGTGTCCCCCCCCAAAAAAAAAAATCAGACGTACGACGATTAAAATCCAGTTTTGTTTGTTAAAATTAAAGTAATGGATTATTTCCATCTGCTGAAT